TTCTTATCTTTTTCAGTATGTACTTATTGCGAGAAAATAGAGCACTTTGTTTCTGACTACTGTGGGTTGATATTTAGGAACAATAATAACATATGTTACCCGAATGTTCTTTCTTCCAAGAGCTCACAGTCACTGCCATGTATTGAAAGAGACACAGCTGTTGGGTCTAACAAACTCTGTGTTAATTTTATTAGGCGGAATCACGAACCATTCCATGAATTTTCCAAAACTGCTCCTGATACGATATTGTGAGACGCCGGAACTTTTTTTATATCAAGTACTTTACCTATTTCCGAGAAATTTTCTTTCTAGTCAAAGTGTTATGATTGTAGATTGATTAAAGTATGTTTCCGATTTCTTAATTTCTTTTCAAACCTATATCTGGAAAGTTAAAATGGCCTCTTTGCGTTGCGAGGCGTTCATTTGTTACTAGGCAATGACTTAGAGATATTGTTGTGAATAATCCTCTTGTAATCGAGAAACCTTGTACGTATGAATAAATTGATCCCATTGAATTAGAAAATACTGGTTCATATCACGGTTACTATAGCTATAGCAAACCATGCTCAAGAAAATGTTGTTGATCAGAATATTGTCCGTTTAGTAGCCACCTTTATGGGTCATTCATTTTATGAGGTCACTTTTGTTATAGCTTGGATAAATCTAGAAGTCTAATCACATAGATATAGTTTTGTCTAATCATTCTCTTAATTAGTATTATGTGATAAAAGGCATTCAGTAATTATAGTCACTGGAAGAAAATCCTGCCATCTTCTCTTTGGTTCAGGAGGCAACGGCTGCCTCACAAAAAGTAGCTTGTTACGTTTTGAAAAATGGAATCCGTATGATGAAATAGAGTTTCCCGTTGGCATTAGCGAACATTACGCTAATTGGTTCTTCTAAGTAACATCTACAGGACATTTATTTCTATCTCTGAAAGACATTATGACTTATCATAAGATCTCAAGTTAATTTTACTTGCCGAAAATTCAAAGTGGTGTTTCTAAATATCGCAGATCATACTTGTCATATGGTAGGAAACAATTCCTGCGTTTGATGAACCATTAAGTACAAAAAAGTATATAGTGTCGGCCCTTTATCTAAGGTCAAGTTGTCCAGAAGCTGCTCTTTTGAGGGATGTTAAATATAAGACCTTTGTAGCAGCTTTGGCAATCTTTGTTTTATACATTAAGGTTTAATGAAGATACATGAAAGGATGATGTCAACAGTATTAAATTATCGTTCTCTTTTAGGGAATCTGTTTATGATTCTGAAAAGATTAGATATGTTATTCCTTAAAAGTGAATAAGGAAGTAAGCGACTTAAAATACACTCTCACACATGTTTGTGGCAAAATATAAATAACTTGGAAATGTCAATATGTTAATAATTTAGGAGTATGTTGGCAAAGATTCCATGTAAATTATGCAATTAATTTAATAGCACTTATTCCACACAATAAAGAATTACGTGAAGATGTAAAATTGAAATGAAGAGACTCTGAAAAGACTAATCATAGCAATTAAAGAATGAATAAAAACATCTATTTAAAGAATTTGAACGTTTTTTTTCAGTTAATCAAACAAAGGCAAATCAAATCTTTTCAAACAAGACAATTTGAATAAAGACGTTTATTGTCAGTATGTGTACTGATTACAGAAACTTAAGAGCGTTATTAAGACATATTTGATCCCAATTCCGAGAATCTAAAATGACATTGACAGGATTATGGGAATTCTTTTTACGGATAGAGTAATTACAATTTCAGCATTCCTTACTCCAAATCATTACTATGCCATCCTGAATGAAGGGTTCACCCAGTTCTTTGCAACGTTTGATGAATATTATAACATCCGGTATTGGCAATTTTGATGCCTATATCATAATGTCATAATCTACAACAATATATGGACAGACCACATGAAAACCATCCAAAAGTGTTTTTAAAGACAAAGGGCAGCACATTATTTGACAATCGACTTGAGTTAGAAAAACTTCTGCTGTGTTTGTCTCACAATACGTTTTTATTTTCGCTTGTTACTGTTACTTAGATTAAGGCCAAGAAGAAATTTTAAATTTCACACATTTGAGAAATCGATAATGAAATCAACAAGTTGTTGCAATGTCATCTAATGTACAGAACACTGTTTTGCCTAAATGTCTACACAGGAAGGTTTAGAGTCTTTGAGAAAGGATAAATTTGCTCAAGAATTCAAGACAAGTTCATTCTTTAACAAAGCAAGAGATTCAGATACAAAATTATCTGTCAAATATTTGGTGGAGAAGAATTTATTTTTGATAACTGTACATTAGATTTTTTTAGTAAGTCTATATAACGCTCTGAAATTAAGATATATCACTGAAATTATAGCGCCATATTTAAACAGAGTAAAGAAGGTTTCAGCTTCTGAAAGAGGGAAAGAGGAAGAAGAGAGACGAATGCTGAATGAATAAAGAATAACGATAAAGACAAATGCAATTGCAGAAAGATAAAATAGAAATGCAATTGAATAAAGAAATAGACAGATTCAAATAAAAACGTTTTTGAAATACAGATACAGAGAGAAAGACATAAAGATCAAAGATGAATACGAAATAGACTAATTTAATTAGAACTGGCAAGTGGGATACACTCCACCATTACACACAATTTCAGATTTGGATGTTGCTAGAAATAATAGCTTAGGACCACTATTCAAACAAAGGTATATATTTATTTTCCTCATTTGGAAAATTGCTGAAAATTTTAAATGGACAAGAGACATTGAACTTTATTAATACGAAGTGTACTTATTGACAAACCTTGAGAGGTCTGCATCTTGTTTGGATTTGCTCAGCCATGAAAGTTGAAAAAGATTAAAATAACATCAGACACATTATATGAATTGAAGAGTTCAATTGAAGTGACGTTAAAAACTGCACTGATGACCAAAGGTTTCAAAAGTCTAGAAAATGCTCCTCGTACAGATGAAAAGTATTCCCAGACTATCAAAGTTTCTTTTGTCTATAAGTCTAACACTTACTAGTTTTTGTAAAAATAAAAACAAACATATTAGTCTCACCCTTCCAAATCTCGGTATGAAGCGCAAACTAAGTCTGATCATAAAATTTCCTTTAAATAAATTATTTTATTGTGTTAATGCTCCTAATGAATGGGCTAAATTCGATATTTACCGATATATATATATATATATATATATATATATATATATATATATATATATATATATATATATATATATATATATATATGAATAGGAATATCTTTATTATCGCGGAATATACATAATTACATAGAATGCAAGGTTTTCACAATTGCTTTAAGCTGAAGAATTTACTTTGGGCAAGGAAAAATCATCTCATTGAGAAGACACAAGTGGGTTATAAAAATAAATATAGCACTATTTACAGAATGTTTAATGTATTAGCCTCAGTGTAAAAATACTTAGCCAAAGGAAAGGTAAGAATTTATTGCCTTAAGTTTGATTTGAAGAATTTCTGCATCACGTATCCATAAGTGGGCATCACGTATCAATAAAGTGGACATCACGTATCCATAAAGTCGGCATCACGTATCCAAAAAGTGAGGATCACGGATCCATTAAGGTCTCAATAGAAAAATGATAATATACTAAAGAACTGTATGCATCCTCAAAGAGTTGTCTAATGGTTTGACAAATTATTTTAATTTATGTTCTACTTGACCTGAATAATTGAATAGTTTTAAATTTTATTCTGTAAGAAGCTCAATAATATGCAAAATATTCTGTATGTATACGAGTTTCATATCAGGATCAATATTTATGGCAGTAAATACGTTCATTTAGGTTTGGGTCTATATTTTTTTAATTCACCTATAATTTACCAGGTCACATGACATGGTCTCAGTCATATATTTTAATTCTAGTCACAGACTTACTATTCATAACAAACATTTTATTTGTAAGTATAGAGAACTTCATATAATGTTCTTTTCAAGGTGATGTAGATTCATATATAATCTTATCACTGGAAAGATTATTCATCCTTTACTAAGATCCATAAGTTTCTCTGGAAATATTGAGTGCTCATAAAAAAATATTCTTGAAGAATGATATTTACTGGGATTTATAGTTAATAAAAACATTTATTTTTTTCTACTGTGTTTTAACATATGATTGTCTGCATAACAACACAATATACGCCGCCATAGGTAGGTTTGCACCTGCAGCGTTGGACGTAATTTGTATTTCTACTAAAGGTTTTTCAGAACTATAAATTATTAGGACTTTTGTCTTTAATTCTATGATTTTAGGTTTTTTTAATTCGCAATATTGTAAATTAATTTTTTTTTTCACTTTGCATCCTAGGGAAATAAATTGTTTATTGAAAATTACAAAGATTGTAGCTTTTCACTCTTTAATGCTACCTTTTTAAGAACATAGACTCATAACAATATCATCAATATAATTTTGTATTATGGGTCAAATGCCATTATTACTGCAATAAATTGATTTAATTCCATTTGCTCAGAGATCATAATCTATCCCTACGTTTACTTATTGCAAGAAGAGAGGACACTTTATTTTGGATTTCTTGAGATCGAAAAATAAGCAACATATCAACATCTATTCCAAATGCTGTTATATCTATAAAATCAAAGTCACTTTCATGTACTGAAAGGAATACATTTTCTTTGGGTCAAACAAATCCCGGTCGTATACAGAATTACGAACCATCAACGTCCTAAGAGTCTATATCACTTATGAGTGATTCTGCCATTGCTAAATATATTAACAGTTTAAGTGTAACGGGTGCTTCTTTGTGTCTTTTATTATCTGGCTCATTGTCTTTTTCTAAGAAGTCTATTTCCAATCAGAGTATCTTTATTCAGACAGTGTGGTGGTTTATAATGTTCCTCTCCATCGTATAAATGTGATATTAGGCTTATATTCAGAACACTTACGCTTAACGGTTGGAAAAGTGTCGTCTCTACCTATCGAAGGTATTCGTTTATTACTGACCGTCCGGTGGCATTGTGGTTAGAGCGTCCGCCTCGAATGCGGGAGGTCGTGTGTTCGATCCCAGGTCTAGTCATACCAAAACGTACAAAAATGGTACTAACAGCTGCCTCGCTTGGCGCTCATCATTAAGAGGCTAGTGTTAGGACTGGTCGGCCTGGTGTCAGGATAATGTGACTAGGTGGGACATCATGCATAATGCCCCAGTGCTAGATACCACTATGAACTGCCACACTGTAAACATCGTAGCGATATAACTGAAAAAAATTGTTAAGATACGTTCAAACTCATAATCACATCATATCACATCATTTATTACTAGGCAAATACTAAGCTGGATATATGTTGTAGTTAATCCACTTGTAGCTGACAAGCCATGATTGGATCAGGAATTCAATCAAATTTGAAAAAGAAATCAATGATTTATACCCAACTTGAGTAGTTACTAGAGCAATGAAAAAGAAGCCCTTGTAGATGATGTTGATCAGGAAATTACTCCTTAGGTGACACATTTATTGTTCAGGTTTTCGATGACGAGTGGTCAATAAGCTATCAAATTATTGTTCCTCAGTCGTATAGACAGCATATCCTTCGTATGGCGCTAGAAACGTATTTGGATGATCAGTTAGTGGTAAATAAGTCTTATCAAATGATATTTAATCATATGTTATTGAAAACTCGTTTAAAATTGGTATTATCAAATATTTGTGACACTTGCTAAATAGTAGGGAAACGTTATTCCTATGGCTCATTTGCAATCTGTTCATGCATTTGGCGAACCATTTAGTAGAATAATGGTAGATGTCGGTCCCTTACTGAATCAGGCAACCAAAACATTTTTTATCATAATGTGTTCAGCAATGAAATATTCTTCCTATAATACTAAAAGTCAAGGGCAGTATAAAGATTTCATCAAACCTTGAACAATATGTTTACGTCATATTGAATTGACACAGGAAAGGATTGGGACGAACGAGTTCATTTACTATTGTTTGCTGTTGGGGAATCAATTCATGAATAATTAGGAGTTATTTGATCCATGAATTGAACATACTGTTAGTGGATAATTTAATTTATTACAAGATAAATCTCTTTCAGCTAAAAATTCAGACATTAATCTTTGACTACATTTATGATTTCAAATATAACTTGTCAAAGACTTGTGAAGTAGTAAGAATTGTTCGTCACTCTATTGAATCAGAAATACGAACTTAAGGTATGAAAATTCCAAGAAAATAAGTTTTCAGCATAGTGATAGAATTCAGACTCTCTTATCCATACCAGAAGATCAGGCTTATTAATATGCTTCTGATACAGATGAAAAGAGTGATAACATTATTAATACTCCCGGGATAGCTGTCAATCTTGCAAACAATTTAGTTGCATATGACCCAAATTGCAAGGATTTAAGTGATGTATTCGGAATGTAGTGACTTTTGATGCTAGTCTTAGGAATGCTGTGATTGATGCAATTAATCTTCGGAATTAAGAAATATTGAATATGCTTGACAAAAGCATTTGAGACACAATAAGGGACTGAGCTAGAACAATGGTTACTTGAAAATGAAACTTATTTCCAGATGTTACAACACTAACAAATGAAATATGCTTCGACGTTGAAGTTGTAGCTTCCACACCTATGGAACAGCTTCAATACAGGTGAATCCTTTCAAACAGGAATGCTTTGGAGAAAAGTTCAGTATTTGCTGTTGGTTGTTGTTCTTTTATATTTCTTATTTTAAGACCGTAGATAAGTAACATTACGTTTTAGAGATTTGGGTAGGAGTTGGGCGGTTGTAATTTGCGGCACAAAAAAAACCAATACGTTATTCAGTGCCGAAGCAATTGGAGTAAAGTGGTGGTTTAAGGATAAACCACGGTAGTTGACCCAAGCTGATCAGGCAATAGGAGTGAATACCTTGGGTCATGGCACATTTACCACTGAGCCACAGTAACATAATTAATATACTGATTTCATTGTGAGGTCAGCACATAAGCACATTAGACTTTTCGGAATACCTTAGGAGCATATCCTGATTATCTTGGAATATACCAAACAGTTGTGACCTTTAGGTATTCCTACCATTCAGTAAGTTTTTTTCTAATTTTTTTAACGTTTTATTTTAGTGAACAAAATTTGTACTTTAAATTAAAAATACTTGCTGGTGTATTTTAACCCCCTAGAAGGTAATAGCATACATGATCAAAAGTAATGTAGCTTCGTGTTAATTTTCACTATTAATAAATTGAACAAGACAAAATTTATATGTTTGTATCACATTTCGGTTGAAATGTATGAAGAGAAAATAAAAATGTGTGGTATATACTGCATTGACATATCTGGGAGAGATGAAACCTAGTAGACAAATATGAAAGAAACATATAACACACCACTGACATGACTTTAACACAGTCACACATCATTCTTTGATATAACACACTGTTGAGAGACTTTAGTACAGTCATTCTAGATACAACACAGCGGTGACATACCTTAAACAGTGATAATTAATTCTTAGATACAATCCACTGTTGACAAGACTAATATAAGACTATGAAATATATCACACTCTTGATAAGCACTTTAAAATAGTCATTCATCACTATAATATATAACACACTGTTGACCAGACCTTAGTACAGCAATACATTATTCTTAGATGACAGGACTTTAACACAGTCATGCATCATTCGTATATAAAATACAACGTTGGCATGATTTTAACACGCTGTTGACCAGACCTTAGTACAGCAATACATCATTCTTAGATGCAACACAGTTGACAGGGCTTTAACACAGTCATGCATCATTCTTATATAAAATACACCGTTGGCAGGATTTTAACAGTCATACATTATTCTTAGATACCACACTGTTGAAAGAAAGTTATTACAGTCATACATCATTCTTAGCTATAACACACATCTGACAGGACTTTAACACACTCATGCATCATTCTTAGATAAAATACAACGTTGGCATGATTTTAACACAGTCATACATTATTCTTAGATACCACACTGTAGACAGAAAGTTAATACAATCATACATCATTCTTAGATATAACACACACCTGACAGGGCTTTAACACAATCATACATCATTCTTAGACAAACCACACTGCTGACAGGACTTTATCACTGTCATACATACGTTATATATATAACACCCATCTGACAGAGCTCTAACACAGTCATACATCATTCTTAGATACAACACACATCTGACAGGGTTTAAACACAATCATACATCATTTTTAGTAATAAAATATAAATTATAAGGCTTTAATATAAACACCCATCTCGCTTAGATAAAACACAGTAGTGTCAGAGCTTTAACACACATACATTACTCATAGATATAATACAGTCATGCATCACGCTTAGATATAGCACACTGTTGACAGAGCTTTAACACATACATGCATCACATCGTCGACAGGACTTTTGCACAGTCATACATCATTCTGATATATAACACACCGTTGACAGGATTTCAACACAGTCATATTTCATTCTGAGATGTAGCATACTGCTGACAGGATTTAAACACAGTCGTACATCATTTTCAAAGTGACTAATATAGATACTTCTTGTTTCTTATTTACGTTTGTGTTCATCGTTTAAGTAACAGAGACAATTTTTAAACCAGTTTAATTATTTCATAATCGATTGTCTGTTTTTATTGCTTAGCTATTAGATGATGATCCAACTTTTTCACAAGTGTTTTCAATTGATAGAAAATGCTTTTACAAGTTCATGATTTAAGTCTTACCTTGATGTATGATTTTATAAATAGCTAGAAATAATTTCCTCTATTTCTATCAAGCATAGGTTTTAGTTGGTAATTTATGTGCGTTTCTCGTGTCAATTAGCATGAAATTTCTAACTGACGTTTCCCAAGTAGGAAGAAATCTAATTTTGAACTATTGTGATTAGGCTAATAGCAAACAAATAGGTAGTACAACTGTTTTGTTTAGGTATCTTTTCCCATTAGATAGAAGAAGAAGATCTTCTACACCACCTACACCTACATAATCAATATACGATGCGTTAAATATTTATCTGGCGCTTGCTGTGTAAATATCACAAGAAGATTTTGGCTAAATAGTTTTGTGTTTTCTGCGTAATAATTAGCAGATGTTATTGGAACTGCTTTTCAACACAACTAATTTAGTAAAGTGGATACATCGAATTCAGTAATGTAGATACATCTAATTAGGTAGAGTGGATTCAACTGTTTCGAAAAAGCCATCAAAGACATAGTAAGGCAATTATCAGGTCTTTTCAGATTTTTATTTCGACGTTTAAGAGCAAGTGATCATCAAATTGGGAGGCAAACGTTCAAAGTATACACTTCACGCTATGGATAATATGTGTAAACTGAAAGAGTTAATTTTTAAAAATTTATTCCATACCAATTAAGCTTTTTTATTCGAGTTTCGCTTGTTAATGAAGAGACACTTAAACCAATGTTTCCAACGAAAAGTTAATACTGTATTAGTTTTTATCTATTTTGATACAGTTTAAAGCCATAACATTTTAAGCTTCTTTGCCTATGGAACAAGTTCTGTTGAATATGGATACAACAGCATACCCTCAGTCGATTTCAAGATCAAAGAGATATTTGCATGTCACCATCATTGTAACTATTGCAATAATATTTTTCAAACAATATCTTTGATTGGTGTATGTATATATGATACTAAAATTCTGCATGATGCGCATCATATAATATTATAAAATAAAATGTATTATGACCTTTCATTCGTGTAAATCGTATTTCTTAAAAAGTTTGATTTTCTCTGGCCATTTGTCATGTAAGTCAATTTTTGTTTCTTACGTTTCGATAGTCAATCAAGATACCATTATATTTACAGTTTGTTTTGCTACTTAGTAATGGCAAATAAGAATACAAAACTGTCTATTACATCTCATCTATAGACGCATGCCGTTCACTCTTTTAACTACGATAAGAAAGATGTTCTAAAATTTATTTTAATACAAATTAAAAAAACGCTCTGGTTATAACTCAATGATTATTTACTATTCAGATTCGATTACAATTATGATCTA